GGTGGTGGTGGTGGTGTTGATCGTGTTGTTGTTGGTGTTTTTGGTTTTGTTGTTGCTGTTGTTGTGTTGTTGGGGACGTTGTTGTCGTGGTGGTGGTTGTGGTGGTGGTGGTGGCTGTTGTTAAAGTCCCGCTTCTTAATAATAATAATAATAATAGTAATAATAATAATAATGGTTGATTCCCCCGGTGGCCAATGTATGTTTTCAAGTAGTGTGCTCCTCCCAGGGTTCGCACCCTGTTTCTAACAAGGGAAAGCTGGGTGTCACCAAACTGGGCCCTTGGCCCCCGAGAACAACAACAACGGCTCCCGCCTGATACTGCCCTTCGAAGTATTCCAAAATCGCGGTCTCGCACGGGGTTGCTTCAGGCTTGATTGAGGAATCGCGATCTCGCGTAGAACCTCCTCGCACTTTATTCAGACGCCGCGCCTTCGACACTCAGAAATCAGGCTCTCGCTGTGGATTTCTCATGATGTATTTGGGGATCGCGCAATCGCTCGAGACGTCCTCGTGGTTCATGCAGGACGCAGGCTTCAGCAACCCTCCTGCTCGATCTGGCGGCTTGGGCCCGCCTTCCAAACCCGCCTGTTAGGGTCTACCCGCCCGATCTGCCCGTCTGGTTCTGCCACGTGTTTTCTGTTCTGGGCACCCCTCTTGCTATTCCCGTTCGTGCTCCATCCTCCTCCCTCCCCCTTGTCCTTTCCTTCCATGTTCTCTTTTCGCATGCATCAAAGGTTGCACGGCAAATAGTTGTAGTTATGAAGAATATACCCCCAAGGGCATGCGATCGAAAACGAAGAGGGCGGGCATCGAAGGATTGGGATTTATCTGTGGAATGGCACGCGGGCAGCTAAGCGGGAACAGTCTTTAAATGGTTGATATTGTTGTTTGTGATGGTGGTGTTGCTGGTGGTGTGTTGTTGTGCTTGTTTTGCAGCAACTATCCAATTCTGGAAACCGCGCGCATCTTTTGTTGTCTTTGATCTGTCCCACAGTGTTCCCTGGGATGCGCGCGTTGTGCCCCAGATGCTGCAGGAGCTCCAGAGGTCCAGGGCCCAGGATCCAGGGGTGGCGAGTGGGAGGCGTTCCGAGAAGATCGACGGGCGCCGAGACACGGGGTCTTGTGTCCTTGTGGCGGCCTCCTGGCTCACGAGCTCTGGCAGGGACTGCCTTTTTCATCCCTTCCTTTCCCCATTACGACTTCACATTCTGGATGAATTCGGCGGCGAGCCAGGGGGGGGCGAAGTGAGAAGGGGCAGAAGGCCCGGAAGCACACTGGCCTCCTGAGACGTGTTGTGAGCCTTCCCCGAAGACGCGCTGAACCATTTCTCAGAAGACGCGAGGGCTTCTGAGAAGTCCCGCCGCCAGAGGGCCCTATCCCTCTCACTTCCCCGCCGCCGAAGTCTGGCGCACATGAGGTGGCTCGTTCTGCTCCAACTCCTGCATCCTCCCTCCTCGCCTCCTCGCTCACCCCTCCTCCACCTGCCTGCTCCTGCCACCTTCCCCCCTGGCTCGGCTCCTCATAATCCTCCTCTTCCACCTCCTCCTCCTCCTCCTCCTCCTCCTCCTCCTCCTCCTCCTCCTTCTCCTCGTCGTCCTCCTCCTCCTTCTCCTCATCCTCCCATCCTGGCTCACTTCACCCCCTCGCTTGCCGCCCATGAGTGCTGCTTCCGCCTCTCCCCCGAGACCTGCGCCGCCAGCCTCCCCGGCGGCAGTGCGCTCTGCCGGTCTCGGGGCTCAAGAGACGGGGGTCAGCGCAAACGGGGGTCAGCCAGGGCACCGGACCCTGCAGGATCCTGCGAAGACCCCTTCTGGCTGACCCGGGTCAGCGAGCCGCTCGTGGCCGGGAGGCGGCCGCGCATATTGGCTCATCCGGGTCTGCGAAGCCCTGCGATGCAGTTTTTTTTTTTGTTTTTTGGGTTCCTGCTGACTTGACCCGGATTAGCAGGTCCCCCACGGCCGACGTGTGGGAGTCACGGGCGGGCTGCGCTACGGGGCGCGCGCGCCTCCCCCAGGCGTTTGGGCCAATGTCGTGTTTCGTCCACCAGAGATGTATTGAATTTGTATTGAACCTATTTGGTTTTTGCACACTTCCGCTTCATAGTTGACCCGCATAGGAAGGATGGGCAACCTTCCCAAGGGTACCAGTGCATCCTTGCCTCCTCGGTACATCCTTGGCCACTTTCGTTGGCCGCGCCCCGCTCGAAAAGCTTCGAAGCGGCCTTCGAAGGCCCTTGCATCCTTATCGTGCATCCTCATGATACGGGTCGACTGCAGCCGATTTCGAGCACGTTTCCTTGCCAGCGGATTTGTACGTGTCCAACAGACTCTCCAACAAGTTGCGCAATGCAAGGCATGCTCTCTTCTGAACTACGCATGCGTTCGAGGACTCGGCTACTCTGCGGCCTGTAAATTACGCACGGGTGCGCGTTACTCAGCGGCCATCGGGCTATCCTCCGTTGCGCGTTCTGGCGCAGCCTCGCTGCGGTCATTTGCAGCTACTGGGGACGAGGCGTTCGCTGTCTTCTCGTGGGTGAACGAAACGAACATTGGCTGGCGGTCAGAATCCCGACCCCTCGAGCGCGCACAGCAGGCTCCGATCGGCGCAGTGGCGCCGGGGCCTTTCGCCGTCTCTCTCCGTTTCGATCGGCCGCGGCCGCTCGGACGGGGGCTCCGGTCGCTCCTCCCAAAGGGCCGCTTGGTGGACCGGATGGGCCTCCGACCCCTTCCCGCCTCTTGGGGCAAAGGGCAGGGCGGGCGGGAGGAGGGGAGGAGGGGGCGAAGGAGGATGAGGAGAAGGGGAGGGGGAAGAGAAGAGGAGGATGGGGCAGGATCGGATGAGCAGGAGGGGTTGGAGCAGGACGGAGGGAGGAAACAGCAGGAGAGAGGGAGGAGGCGGAAGAGGGCGGGCATCGGGGAGAAACAGGACTGATGATGATGCTGATGCTGCTGCTGCTGATAATGATGCTGCTGCTGCTGCTGCTGATGAGAATGATGATGATGATGATGGTGATGATGATGATGATGATGATGATGATGATGATGATGATGATGATGATGATGATGGTGGTGGTGGTGATGGTGATGGTGATGGTGATGGTGAGGATGAGGATGAGGATGAGGATCATGATGAGGACGACGATGAGGATGAGGATGAGGATGTGGATGCTGCTGATGCTGATGCTGATGCTGATGCTGCTGATGATGATGCTGATGCTGATGATGAGGATGCTGCTGATGATGAGGAGGAGGAGGAGCAGGATTAGGATGAGGATGAGGATAATGCTGATGCTGATGCTGATTCTGTTGATGATGATGCTGATGATTGTCATGATGGTGATGGTGATGATGGTGATGATGCTGTTAATGATGCCGCTGACGATTTGGATGTTGATGTTGATATTGGTTGTTGTTGATGATGATGCTGATGATGATGATGGTGATGAGCATGATGATTATGATGA